GCTTTCTCTTCCTATTCTCCTAATATGATTTGTATAAATTGGGAGACCTTTATAACTCCTCTATAATTTTGTTCTAAATTTTTCTATTTTTGTTTTCTTTCCCTCCTTTAGGAGTTTGTATCCTTGAACAATTTTTGTTCCTTTTCATTTATCAATGAAAAGTTTATATCTTGTTCAAAAAAAATTGTCTAACCATAGCCTCTTTCTGCTGGGAAACTCTGAAGCAGCGAGGAAATCTGGAAAACAAAGGTCCATCCCCTGTCCAATTGTCGTGCCAGAAGCGAATAGAGTTGCCATCACCCAACTTGCACAAATACCATTTATCTACCTGTCTACAGCATTTGGCTATGCTTTTTTAGGGGCCTTTGTAGTGACTAGGAGAGATACAAAATGGGATCCACATGTTTTTTGAGGTTGCATATTTGCTAGCAATGATTTTCCGCCACAATGCGTCGGGCTCATTCATGTATCTCCACCCCCATTTAGCTAACAAACTCAGATTTTTAACTTCCAAATTGCCCACACCCAAGCCACCTTTACTGACCGGCAGAGAGGTAGCCTTCCAATTTACAAGATTGGAGCCTTGTCTCTTTCGTTGCCTTTCCACAAGAAGTCCCTCAAGAGTTTCTCCAACTTTCTAATAATAAATTTAGGACAAAGGAAAACAAAGAAACAATAAAGAGGCATATTGGCCAAAACCGAAGTAGTTAGAGACAATCTCCCACCTCTAGATCCCAAGAAGTTCTTCTGTTTTGAAAGTCTTGAGCAATTTTTTTCTTCAATTGGGTCCCAAAAGAGACCGCTTTTGGGTTACCTGCCAGACTTAGGCCCAAATAATTCAAAGGCCAATCCCCTACTGCACATCCCCACAAATCAGACATACTCCTAACTTCCTCTTCTTGAATATTTATCCCAAGCAAGGTGGTTTTGGCTAAGTTAACCTTTAAACCAGACATAAGCTCAAAGAGATGCACCATACTTCAAAGATTCATAACCTTTTGGACATCATAATCAGCAAAAGAATAGTATCATCAGCGAACTGTAGATGGTTTATATTAATATCATCTTTTCCAACCACAAAGTCTTTCAGCAGCCCTTTCTCCTAGCCCAGATCTAGAATGCTACTAAACACATCGACTACAATGACAAAGAGAAAAGGCGCAAGGGGGTCGCCCTGCCTCAAGCCTCTAGAAGCTCTAAACTTTCCTCTAGGCCTCTCGTTTATGAAAATCGAGAACGAAGTATTAGAAATGCAGCCCTTTATCCAAGAGGCCCATTTATCACCGAACCCTTTTCTTCTCAAGACTTCCAGCAGAGACTCCCAATCCACCATTTCATAGGCCTTCTCAAAATCCAGCTTAAAAATCCACCCTTGCTTCCTTTTTGTTTTGTACTCATCAACAACCTCATTAGCTATGAGGATTGAGTCAATTATTTGTCTTTCGGCTACAAAGGCTGATTGATTTGGCGAAATGATCTTGTGAATAACCCTTTTGAGTCTTGACGCAAGAACTTTTGCCACTAGTTTGTATATGCAAGTAACCAAGTTGATGGGTCTATAATCTGCTACAAAATATCGTCTTTAAGGATGTTCCAAAACCTTTGGTAGCATTGCACAACAAAAAAACCAACTCACCTCAGAGCTCACCATTCTGGACGACTTAGAGGAGAAAGGGCTCCTAAACTCAGTTCAACATACCCAATGGAAATCTATTAAAATACAGCTCCTTGAGGTGGTGGCAAAGGAAGAGCCTTTTTGGCGCCAACATTGCAAAACTAATTGGCTACATGAAGGAGACAACAATACATCTTTCTTCCAATCGTATTGTGCCATAGAAGAGGCGGAGGAGCACCATTACTGAAATTCTCTCCACGAATGGTACCAGCCTTATTGAAGAGAATGACATTGAAAAAGAATTTCTGTCATTTTTTTACAGGTTATACTCCAAGAAGGAGGGACATAGATTCCTACCACACCCCATGGAGTGGAGCTCCATCACCCATCAACAAAGTACAGCGATTGAGCAACCTTTCACTGATTGAGAAACATTTCACTGAAGAGGAGGTTTGGCATGCTATCAAAGAATTAGGAACAAACAAGTCCCCTGGACTGGATGGATTTACTGCAGAATTCTACAAAAGGTTTTGGAACATCCTTGAAGACGATATTTTGAGAGTGTTCCAAGACATTTTTAAGAATGGGATTATCAATGCAAGCCTTAATGAAACCTATGTTTGCCTCATCCCAAAGAAACTTGATACTAGACAAGTAGGGGATTTCCGGCCTATAAGCCTCATCTCTCGCTTATACAAGATCATAACAAGGGTTCTTTCGTAAAGATTAAAACGATTGCTGCCACACACAATCACGAATACGCAATCAGCCTTTGTGGCTGGAAGGCAAATTCTCGATGCATCACTAATTGCCAACGAGCTTATTGAGGATCGAGAAATACATCAAAAGAAGGGAGTGGTTATCAAGTTAGACATTGAAAAGGCCTTTGATAGTGTTGATTGGGACTTTCTTGATGTTGTTCTTGAGGCTAAAGGTTTGGACACATTTGGAAAAAGTGGATCTGAGGTTGTGTTTCATCTGCAAATTTCTCCATCATTATCAATGGTCGTCCGAGAGGAAAAATCATTGCATCTAGAGGCCTAAGGCAAGGTGACCTTTTATCATCTCTTCTTTCTTTTTTTTGATTGCTGACATCTTTAGTCGTCTCATGTCACATTCAGCTAGCTACAACCTCATAAAGAGATTTGACCTTGGAGACAATTCCTTGAACATACAACACCTTCCATTTGCAGACGACACCATCCTTTTCTCCACGTATCAGGACACTTCCCTCAACAATATGTTCACATCAGCCGACTATTTAAGGAGGCATCCGGACTTTTAAAATCAACCACCAGAAATCAGAAATCTTGGACATAAACCTAGATGACAGTGAGCTCTCAACCTTAGCATCCAAGTATAATTGCAAAAAGGGATCATGGCCTACCCTCTACCTCGGTCTCCCCCTACACAGCAAGCCAGAAACCCTCTCCTTCTGGGACCCTTTGGTTGAGAAAGTTAAGAAAAGATTACACTCATGGAAAAACTCCTTCATCTTCAAAGGTGATAGACATACACTTATTCAAGCTACACTAGCAAATCTCCCTACCTACTACTCTTCACTCTTCCCCATGCCTTCTAAAGTTGCCAACACCTTAGATAGTCTCTTTAGAAGCTTCTTATGGAAAGGTACTAAGGAATCAAATGGGATGAATTTAGTAAAATGGGACATCACCCAGCAACCGCTTTTGGTGGGGAGTTTGGGCTTGTCCAACATGAAACAGAAAAGCAACAACCTACTGGCCAAATGGATTTGAAGATATTTTAAAGAGAGGATGGCTTTGTGGGATAAGGTGATTTAAACAAAGTATGGACTTTCTTCCTAGTCCCTTAAACCTATCGCAACCACTCTCCCAAATGTGTCCAAACCTTTAGCCTCAGGAGCTGGTTTTTGATAGGCTGGCTTATAAAATTGGTGATGGCAGCACCACCCCTTTCTGGACAGTCCTTTGGTTGGTCAATGAACCTCTGAAACAACACACGCCACTTCTCTACACCTTATCTTTGAAAAAGGAGGATTCAGTTCGGAATCTTTGGTCTGTAGACAATAATTGCTGGAATTTGAGGTTGAGGAGAAATCTAAAGGATGCTGAAATTGTCAAGTGGGCAACCCATTCACACAAGCTCTCTACGGTTCATCTAGCCACAGAGGTTGACATCCTATCTTGGAAACTAGAACCAAATGGCATATACTCCACTCACTCTCTCATCAAGGATGTCGCACAGCCTTGTCATATTACTCCACAACGACTGTATGAAGGCATTTGGAGAGACTCATACCCAAAAAAGGTGAAATTTTTCCTTTGGGAACTTAGCCATCGCGCTATCAACACCGGTGACAAGCTCAAAGAAGGATGCCCTACATGGCTCTCTCTCCCATTGGTGTGTGATGTGCCAATCAAACCAAGAAACCCAACAACACCTATTTGCCACCTGCCTTTTTGCAACCAGATTTTGTAACTTCATCCTTTACACTTTTGGATGGTCCACTGCATTACTGATGGCAGAACTTTATGTGAGCATTTTTTTGGATTATTTGGAGAGAAATAAACCAATGCGTCTTCAACGACAAAACTCTCCCTTTTGATAGTTTTTTTTAAGCTATAGTTTTTACCGTCATTAATTGGTGTAAATCCTCCCCTATGTTTCATAACTATAGCTACACTTCCCTCTTAGCCAATTGGAAGTGCTTCATGTAATCCCTCTTACGAGACTTTTATAATTTCATACAATCAATGAAATTGTTTCTTTCAAAAAAAAAAACAGAGGATTGAATCTAGTTGAGACTCCTGCTGGGATCTAGTCAAACTCTTTGC